TCAACAGCACTCTTGCAAAGCCAGTCACAGGTATTAGGTTGAACAAAGAAATGCATTTGCCAGAGTTTATGTGAAAAACTTGAACATGACTTAGTATGCTCTTGGATGAGGATGCACAGTACAGTATCCATATGTATACATGAGGGGCGGAGCAGGGTTGACTGCCATGAAAGGATTCAGTGGGCATGTGTTACTGTTTATTTTCCTGTTTTGGCTGCCTGAGGGGCTCCCCCCCACCCCGGGCCCCATTCTCTATTCAGAGTTCTGACATGAATCCAACCAGGTAGTTTGGCGGACTTACCCCATACATTAGTTGTTATGCAGTGTATATAACATGACATAACTACAGTGATGCATGCTTGACTGATTCATTTATATAAAGGGGGATGTCTGCAATGACACATGTAGACTCTAGGCCATGGTACATGTACACGCAGTTCTGCAGAACCTGCTTCATAGAAACAGTGGGGTTTGGGGATTTTTCAAGGAAGTGAATTTGACGGCAGCTTTGGAAATGGCATGGGCCTGATAATAAGTTTGTAAATGTGCATGAAACATTTGACCAACTCTTGAAATGGATAAAACGCACCACCTTGCTTAGCAACAACCAGCTGACATTTTTGAGCAACAATCTGGTCGTAAACATTGTGGTATTTTTTGGTTATTCTCGAGAGTTTGGTTTTGTACTAAGCTTGTAATATCCCAATTATGGACATTCTGATAAAGAACCTTATGTTTATAGTTATCTCAACAGGTTTTTTTGGGTAGCCAAGGTTCATGACCCAGACGTCATTGTTCATTTGAAGTTCACTCCAATTAAATCTTTGTGCAGAATGGGCAGAGTTTAAAAAGTACAGTGTATAAAGTCTAAATTTAACTTGTCAGGCACAGTGCACTACATGTACTTGATTCCAAAGTTATGTGGTGCTTGAGAACACGTTTCATCAGGGAAATGGAACAGTCTGCTCTGTGTTTGCATATCTTGACCTCTTGGCACACGAGATAGCTAAAAACCATGTCTGCAATGTTGCGATAATACACATTTGTAACGTACGTGTCTACATGTACATCAGTGGACAAATTGGAGATCAATTTATTCACTCTTGTCTGTGTAATAGAAGTTGGTAGGGAGCTTTGGTTAGGACTTCTGGCAAATGTTACAGCAAGGTTGAGGAGGAATTCCAGTTGGCCCTGATGCTACACTGTCTGTCAGTGATTTAAGAATAATATACAGAAATCAAAACTTGTCCACAATGGCTTTAATGATTGAGAGAATTATGTTATAAATTTTGTTTCTGTTTCATGCTTTGTAGCAGGTTTCAATGTTGACATGCATTGTATGCCTGTGTGTGTATAAAACAGGCTCGAGCCAAACCCTGTGGAATTGTGAAGTACTGAAAAAAGCTCTGGAAAGCGAATGGCTGTTGGATAATGAAAGGTCCTTGCTTGGTTTGCATACACATTTATGTACGTGGGCATTACCAGTCCACCGTTGATCAAACGCAAGAAAGGGTGGAAGTTTAGCATGTGCACGTTTCTGACCTGTGGACCTTATTTCATGTGTGTTTGGAACAGGAGTGCACACACCTGGGGTGGGGGGCTTTTAAGAAGTTGTGTCTGGAACTCTGTTGGGCATTTAACTTTTAGCATGCTGAACCCAACAATATCTAACAGTGGGCACTTTCTGTTGCATTTTATTGATGTGATCAGTGAACAAAAGGCCTTTTGTTCTAGCTGTTGGATTCGCTTGGGCTCTGAAGGCTTCACACTTGAATAGCTGTTGGATGTAAATTAGGGTAGGCAGTCAAGTAAAAGGGGCTACTGGATGGGTAAGTCTTTTCAAATAAATCTAAGTTCACCGCAAGGGTACAAAATCAGCTTTTATTGTGATGGAGACGAGTTTTGGCCCAATTCAGAACTTGGTGGTAGACAGGCCTACAGTGCTGTAGCCTCGGCTGAGTATGTTGTTGTTGCTATTTTGAAAGGAGAGTAATTACTTTGAATAACCTGGTCTGAATTCACTTTCTTGCATTTCTGAACATAGCAATAATGTAACGGATATCAGGAAAATCTGTTGCTTTGACTTATTACAGATATTTTGTGTTATTCAGGACCACTTTTTTCCTACATTTGTCTGATTTTTTTTACCCTCCTTAGCAGCACATGGTATTGAGTCACTAAGTGATATAAAAATTGCTACGGGGATCTCAGTTTTGAGTTCAATGTTTTCCAGTACAAACTGCATGTCTGTAGTATCTAGCTGAATGGGATGTGTACAGCAACAGTGCCCTCTTGTGTCTTGAATGGTTGACATTTAATGGAATTGGAAAAAACTCAGCTTTGATTCAGTTTTAGCGAATAGACATTTTAGGGGCCCTTTAAGTTTTTATAATCTATTTCGTTGAGATGTAACTATAAATGTTTTGTTTGTAGTTTCAGAGGAACGTATTCGTGGTTATAAATTAATTATGCGCATTAATGTAATATAAGTATTAAGGCTTTCCAACCTAAACACCACATTTCATTTACCATTGTCACTTAATGCCTCTTTTTTTACGTAATAAATTGTCTTAAGCCACAGGGTTGTTTTGGGTCCAAAAAAAGTTGTTTGTAGAAAATGAACAAAACAAAACAAAACAAAAAAGGGTATAGATACCTTAGCTGAATTTGAAAAAGAAGTCAGGCACCGCAGGTACTGACTCTTCAAAAATCATTTGCTCAGTTCTGGTACCATACTTTTGAGTGATACCTCTTCTGTTGCTGCACTCCAAGATTCTACTGAGGAGTGATATTGTCACCATGAATGGGACATTTTATACAGTGGCCATGTTCAAGTTTCACACGTGGTCTCCAGATCACACTTACTCATTCTAAGTTGACTGCAAAATGTGAAAATTGTGACACATATTTTTCAGTACCATCTTGCAAAAATTTGAATGCAGCTTTTGTTGGTAGAGCATCAGTAATTTTGATAAATATGTGATAGCATTGTAACCTGTTCAGACAGTCTCACACTTGAGCACATATCATGTTTCATTACCTGTATGCCTTGTCATTGCCATTGCTGGCAAGCAGTGAGACATTTGGTCACAGGATGTACAGCAGACAATCACAATTTTTCTGGACCCGAAATTAATACTTTTTTGGAACAGGTTGACCTGTTATCAGGACAGCTCTGAGGATCTAGAGTCATCAGAGAAAATGTCAGGTGATGTTTTGTGTCGGTTTTCTGTCCGCATTCAGTCACTGTACTAAAAATGGCCTGTCGCAAGATTAAATCTGGACCTGTGTGTGTTTTGTCTGAATGGTTGTGTCAGTTAGAACAGTTTGTTGGCCGCAAAGTTACAACTCAAAGAAAGTTAAGGATCACTTTTTCTTAACTTGTTTTTCCGAGCAATGAGAGGGGTCTAGTTCTTTCATTTTTTGTTTGTCTAGATGGTGTTCTCTTTGGAATAAAATATTTAAAAACTCTTTCAAAACATCAAATGCACATTTTCTCAAAATGGACAGTTTCAGGGAAAAGTCAGATGACAACTAAACAGTGGTCCTTAACTTTTTTTGAGTACTGTATCTTGTGTTGGAGCCCACCTTTGCCAAATTGATGTTGGAATGATTAGGTGGGAGGTTAGTTGGGGGCAAGGCAGAAAGGGAAGCGTCGCTTTCACGGGTTGCCTCTCGCAACATGTAATCTGACTAGTTCACCCAGCAGGAAGCTATGGCTTCAGTTGGAAAGGTTTCTTTTTTGTGCAAAGCAAATGATTTCACTTGAGCCAAGTGCACTGCACTCGACCATGTCGACTGCAGTGATACAGAGCAAGAGAGTCTTTCATTGTCATGTGCACCAACGGGAAGTGGGGCTATTGTGTCAGTCCTGATGAAGGGCGTCACCCGTTTTCATCCCAGTATTAGATATTGTTTGGTTACAAAGCATCCGTTACAGCTGGTTATATGAAAACTGTTTTTCCTGTACAAATTTTCACAAAATTTGGTGGACAACAGCCGTTTTTTCTCTCTTTTTTTTTCAACTTGGAGTGCAGTGCCAGTCATTTCATGCATCATTGACTACTGCCTTAAAATGACATGTATTATAAATCTCCCATAATCAATAAAAAATTATGTTCAGGCAGCTGTTTCCAAACCCAGACATTTTACCCCGCAAACACACCTCAGAATATGTTGCCAATAATTGTGTTTGGCAGACAGGAGAGAATTTATTGTGTGTGAAGTGGCACATAGCATTTTTTTTTTTTTTTAATTGTGTGCTGAGTGTCTGGAACGGTTTATTGTTTGGACAGATGTATGTACGTGTGAGATGGGAAAACGTAAAGAGGAAGCTGCCGAAATTAGCAATGTTCTGTTGTTCTTGTGCAGCATGAACAGGATATGTTGACAGGTGCAGAGAAGCATGTGAACGTTCAGTGTATGCAGTGCCCAGAATATTTTGATGATTGTGGTTTTGTGCAGAAATTACATTGTAACTTCTGATGCTAATGTGTGGTGAATACCTCTCGGTGTTTTTGTTGAGTATGGCAGGGTTGCATTTTCACTTTCAAAAATGGTAAGGCATACAACCCGCACATAAAATTGAAGGAAAAAAATAAAACATTTAAAAGTACAGCCCGTGCACTTTCCAAGAACTGTTTAACGAGCCATACAGCCTACTCAGTCTCTACATTCGGGCCTAGTCTCATACTGTAGGGCACCTGTTTTCATTAGACATGGCCTAGTTATTCGCTGAAATGTGCTTCAAACTGGAGTACACAGTGGGCACCTGATGCAAATGCTCACATTAAATAAGTATACATGGGAAAAAATACAAAAATTCCCCAAAGCCTATGGTTTAGTTCACTTGTATGAGCCAGTTGTGTATACAGTCATTTTTTTGTCCAATCCATGTGGTGCCAATGAATGTGTTTGCTTCCACACTCAGCATGCCATCTAAAGCATGGCCTTAAATTTATGATGTTTTGATTGTTGTGGTTTTTCCCATTTCCATACAGATGATAGCAAAAGTCAAGAGACCAACAGCAGCCTTCACCTGTTCTTTTTAGCTATCCTAGCGCCAATCACACTTGTCTGCCTGCTATGCTGTTTAATTATGTACATACGCCAACGCAACGATCTCCTGATGCCTCCACTACATCACAGATCCCAAAGACTCTCTATGTCCACCCCATCTGATACCACACCACCAGTAAGTCAACAGCGTTCTCTGTCAACACTAATTCCCCAAACTTTATGCACCTGGAACCATTTTGAATCTGCCAAAATTTTCTTTCGGCAAACACCCTGTGAACTTACACTTCCCAGGGTCAATCATGCACCATGTGTAGTAGTAGTGACCGAGTTCTGTCTTCTTCAGTCCAACAGCATCATGCTTAATCACTGGTAGATCTTGATGGTTTGTATGGGATTATGGTTGGCAACTGAGGACACGCCCTTGCCACTATGGCAACATGGTTGTTGGCCTGTGCACAGAGTAATGGCGGACAACAGTTGAACCGAAATTTTGATAACAGTTTCCTTCATCCAAGTATCCACTGATTGGAGTGAAAAACCTTGTAATCTGCCACCCCAAGAGTAGTATCCAAATGAGACCGTAAGACAGCAGTTTTCTGGTCCTCCAAAAACCTTTCGCTATTCATCATTATGGTCTGCACAGCCCACATAGATTAGTCCTTCCACTTCAGCAACCTTCCAAGCGAAGAGACTTGTTGGGAAATTTTACAGTTGAAATGGTAGGAAGGTTGTGACATTGTTAAGGGTGTTTGTGAAGGGGTTAAGGTCTGAAACATGCTAGCAGTCCTATGTACTTGCATTTGTATCCAACATTGCAGTTGGGATCATAGGACATACACAGAGAAAAGTGTCTCATGTTGTGTCGATGGGCAGCATTCTTGTTTAAGAACAGTTTGGCCCTTGAATATTTGACCTTACCAGTTTGGAAATGCAACCAAAATATTTTGAAGGTGAAGAAATATTCTTTCAGGAAACTTGTGAAAGGAAAAGAAAATGAAAAATGAAAAAACTAAAACCAAATCAAAATCAATGACTAAAAGTGAAACAGTCTTGCAAAACAAAAGGAAACAGGGAGAGAGTGTGGTGTGTAAATACAAAAAGCTATCAGGAAGGACATGAAATCGTTCAGTCGCGGAAGTACGCAGCTGATATCTTGATCAGGGAATATCTATGGTCATTTCTTTGTGGTATATGCATTTTTATGCTCTTGGCTATATTCACATGGTGGGTTGAGTTCATTGATTTCTTGTAGTTTGAAGTTGTGGCAAGTATTTTGCTGGACTGTGCTTAATGAAGCAATCAACAGAAACTAGTCGAATTTGCTAAACAGTTTTTTGTGTTTACCAAAATTGATTGTCTGCTATTGGTTATTGATGATTTCAGCAAAGTCCAACTTAAAGAAAGTGTTTGCTAAAGCATCTTTGTTTTTCTTTACACCAGACAAGTGAACTGCCTCTCATGCAGGGCAGGCCTTTTTCCAGTGAGCAACAGCAAGAGATGCTGCGCCAACAGCGAGAGACTGTTTGCCGCCGCAGTGAGTCCACTGAGGACTACCCCTCCACGGTGGTGCATTATGATGAGGAAGCCCACCCTTTCATGAGAAGCCTAAGACTCTTTAATGAGGACGTTTGTCGGTCAGGGATTCGTGCCCCACCCAATCGGACTGTCTTTGACAGCATTGAGAGCAGCCTCAGCATGAAGCAACCACAAGCCCCACTGAAAAAGGTCTTGAAAAAGGGCACTGTTCATCGAACAGACACAACTAATCGTGCCGGCTCCCTAAGGGGCAAGCCTGGATTACAAGTGCTAGACAGTGAGACCAAGACGCCGCTGAAGTTATTAGATCCGGATTCGGAAGGACCGCCCCCATATCTTGCAGTTGTGAAGAAGCAACATCAGCAGCAACAACCTAGACCTTCTTCAGAGGTCCTCAATGTGTGTGATAGGAGCCAAAGCCACCTAGTGGCTGCTCTAAGTGAACCTAGTGTGCAGCGATCGGTGGTGGACACGTGGCCCCTGCCTCATCGGTCGCACAACGCTGCCACACCACCCTCAACGCTACCACAGGAAGCCCAGCCAAGTAGTAGGCATTCACCGCCCCCTCCACCCCTAGAGGAAAAAGAGGAAGCACAGTGTAGAAGGTGTGAATCCAGTGAGACCCGTATTGCATGACACGGCTGAAGCGTTTGCCACTCCAATTTAAAAACCCTGAGCACCAAGAAATGCTCAGAATCTATATGCAGCCTTATTACTCATAAATTGAAGAGGGCCGGTGGCCCAATGGTATAATGCTATTCGTATGTAATAATTATGTTGAAGAGTAGACTCGGCTCGTTGACAATGTGACATAAATAAGGGAGGGCTGGTAAGAGAATGCAGTGCATGTGAGGTTACTTAAGTTCAATTTCATTCTGAACCAACATGCGAGAAAGTAGCAACACTTGTACAGACTGATCCTCAACCACTCTCATTGGATGATGTGCAGGTGATGACTTAGTAAGGTAAGAATCATTTCTCGGAGATTTGCTGTCAGAGGTGGTCATGGTGTTGCTGACCCTTCCAGTTATTGCCTGTGATTTTGTTGACTGGATCAGTCTGTACCAGTGGCCTGTGTTGAAAGTCGTGTACTTGAGCATTACAGGCAATGCTTCCATTCAAAATGGGGAGTAAAATCCTCTGCTATTCCCAAATTTATGTACAAGTGAAAACTTGGGACTTGAAAGTAGAAACTTTGGCTTTGCACCATCCATGTAAACTTGTTTTGTCAATATGATCTCACGAGAGCCTATCAGTCTGTTTAAATGGAAGTCGAGAGTGGAAAACCAGAATATTTTTACATTCTGAAAAGCGATCAGCTTAAGTTGGCCAGAGGTCACTTGCATGTGATCTTAAAACCACAAGAAATCTAACTGCTGTCAGTGTTGATTGCCTGCATTACTAAAATGATCCAGTTATGGAAGTGAGATAATGTCTAAACCATCAGTTATACTCATTTTTCTCATTTGTAAGCCGTTTGCAGATGTTCCCTCATTTCAAGAAACTTAACACCTTCCAGTTGCAGAATGAGTTGTGCTTCACTCACTGAGGATAAAACTCTTTTTCACCTCTTGATCCTATGCATGAATCATCTGAATGTTTTTGCCGGAGGCTGCATTGTCACAACAAATAGCATTGTGACCACTTTCAGTTTGTGCCCGATGTCCTGGAATGGCTGTGGGGTGTCATTAAGCCACTCAGTGGCCCATAGGGTTGCAGATTCATTGCACACTTCTTCAGTGAACGGGCGACTGAACGTCCACTGGCAGATTGACTTGAATTTAGATACATGTTTGGCAGCAAGCATTGATACAGTGGTCATGTTCCACATACTAATTGTATAAATGCTACCACTCGTCTGGTGAACTTTGCTGTATGAAAAGGCCAAATGTCTCTGACATTTCACCTTGCGCTATCCTTGTATCCTGCATAAAATATCCAAGTATCCTGCTCATCTTTCACATTTCCTTGGTCCTTTCTAAAGTGAAATCTAATATTAATTTTAGAAATCTAAGATCTTATTTATCAAATGACCATTTTGCCTCATGGTGGTTCTTTATGAAGTCGTAATGAATCAAAAAGATGTGAAAATAGACTTGATGGGTCACTTGCCCTTGCTTCCGTAGATGATCAAAAAGGATGATGTCACATTTGTCACAAAAAGTCTGAGAAACATTTTTTTTTGTGGGGACCCTTTCATATAAAAAAAGCTGTCTTGCATCAATGTGCCTTTGCTTTGCATGCTAGTTCTGTCTTGTGTGATTTTTTGCGATTGGAATGTTGTGCTTTGTCAGAGACGAACACCAACATTCAGTAGAACAGCATTTCAGCTCTGTCATCTTGTGAAACTGAAGGGAAGAACGCAAGGCTGCTGCTGCTGAACCTTTTGGATCCACTGGCATGGGGGAACTACCAAGGGAGGCAGAGTGAGGCCTTTTGTAACATCCGCACTTGTACTGTAGCCTCTCCCCCACAGGTACACACACCCACACAACAAATGATCCCTTTCAGTGCAGCTGGTTGACGAGAGTTCACGAAAACAAACACAGCACTACGGTGCAGTCACGCACGGTGGAGATAAAGTGTACGTGTCTGTGCTCACGACTTCATGGCCGACCCTAGCATTGGAGGAAGGAAATTGCCAAGGCCATTGTATGAGCATTAGTCATGTAAAAAAACATTCTTTTGGCCGGAAACTTCAGGAACGTCAGTTTGAAGGGGGAGTGGGCCTAACCACCTCCAAAGTCTCCAGGTATGAAGAATGTGCTTCCATCCAGGGACTCAGCAAAATGAGAACTCTTTCAATGTGTTAAGTCGGTTAAAATAAACTGTATCTACCCACTTCATGTTCATCCAGATTTTTTTTGACAGGTTTAGTCATATTTCAGTCCCGTTCCCCCGGGGGGGGTCTCATGATTTACCCTCTCCAAAGATGAGTGAGCCTTCCCTTTCTGAACAGCCCAATTGCCCAGTGACTCATTCAATTTCCTTAGTTCTGTATTTCCCACATGCCTCTGAATGTCTTTACCCAGGAGACATTAACCAGCTAATACTTTGTCCTCTATTGCCCCATTTCTTAATTCCCCACCCAAAGAGTGAACAATGAATGAGATGAAAAACTGTTCCTTTCTCATCTCTGCCATTTATAGCGCTCTGTAACCAATCATCAGGTAGAAGATCCATCTGGTGCTATCGCTTGGCTCTGGCCCCAACTAACTAAAACACTAGCCCAGACTATTCACAGATAGACCCCAAAGTTCCAAGCCCTTAGAAGGGGCTTTATGTCCAGGCCTATGTTGATCCTGAGCCAACATTGCTGTGGCAGATGCAGCCGTCAAGCCAAGCCCCTGGATGCATACTGGCCCCTGTTTGATCCCAGAGTTTAAAGGAGAAAAACCCACAGACCTCTGCCCACATGTGGAGAGTTTCCTCAATGCTGGTGAGTTTGCTTCTGCATCTGCAACGTTTCCACGCTATTGAGAGAGATGCTGTAAGACACGAGTTGTCTTGTGAGTAAAGAGTGGTGGAAAAAAAAAGAAGCATCCATGTTGAATGAGTCCAGGGTGGTACCTCTTTAAAGGAATAACCACAATTTCCTGGTGGATTAAGCAAGACCCCTGCCTGCTGACAGGGACACAGCTGCCATACGCATCAAATCTATCCATGTGGTGATATTTTCTATCCCACTGCATTTCTGGATGCCGCTATGTGGCTGGTAGTTTACATAGAGGAATGCATTGCGTATGTGGGTACTTAGCTGCAAGATCTGTGGGCTATGCGGCAACTTGACCTGCCCAGCATAAAGACCTTAATGAAGCACAGAAGAACTATAGGGGCTCATGGGAAATAGCTGCTAGTTGGAGTTTTCACTGTCAACAAGTTTAGGGTCGGCAACCTTTTGTTGAGTTTTTCAATGGAGAGGTTGAGATGAAAGTTCTGATGCTCAGGTTAAGTTGGTATCGTATTAGGTATTGATGTGGTATGCTTGACTGTTGTATGTTTCACTGCTGTTGAACTTCTCATTGCAATAGAATGATACTTAATAGAATCAGCAGAGGGAATTTTTGTGCTTTCAACTTTCTTGGACATTTTCACACCTTGTACTCATGTGGGTACATTGCCTACCAATGTTTCTACACGATTAGTAGGCATCTGACACAGCAAGTCATACCAAACTGTAGAAAGTCTGCATACTCACTGATAGCCGTGAACCCCAACAGTCTGCCATCCTGGAAAATTTTTATGATTTAAGGGTTTTACCATATTGGGTGCAATTTATTTGCAAGGAAACTTATTTGGAGGAAAAATTTGAATTTTACCAGACCAGAAGGTGCGCACCTCTCTCACCAGCCTTTCCTCGCAGGTCAGCCTTTTCTCTTGACATGGTCCGTTAATCAACATTTGAAAGATCTTGAAATCAAATGAGAACCTGTAGAAAGATGGACAAAAGTAATTGTTGTTGCATGTACAAAAAGTCTTATTATCCTGTATGTGTGTGAAACTCCCTGTTATTATTTTTTGTTCACTTTCTTGTGCTAGCAATATATATAATTATTTCCCTGAAAATGCTGTTGTTTATGTGTATATTAAATATTATAAATATGACGTTTATTTTGCTTTTTTTGGTTGTATATCATCAAAGATGGTACTATTTCGGGGAAGGAAGCCACATACTAAGCTATTCTTGCAGAGAAGAATTCTGTTTGAATTATTTATGACTGATTGGAGAGTCACACTCTCTTTGCATTGGTTTGGGCAAAACATCTTCCCCTGTTTGGGGGGAAATTGAATCAAGTACATTGTAGCTCCTTAAATGAAGTCTTCATTATAAGAAAACAATACATATATTGTAATCAGTGGTCCGACATTTGGGACTGATTTATGGATGGCGTATGCATGTTTGATCAATTTGTACAGTGCCAGAGGAAATTGATTTTTCTCCCCTTTGGGGGAAGTGGGGATAGTCATACTAAATGCTTTCCTTGTAGATGCTGGCCGTATTTGTTTCACACAGATATGGAGCACGATCAGCAATCCGTCATTGGTTTACAGAAACCAAAACTTGCCTAATGGATGGTGCGAACCAGCGTAAGGATATCTGATCGCAATCCAAATCTGTGTGAAACAAACTAGCCCACGGAGGGGCCCCAAGAATGAGCCTTAAAACTTACACACATGGTGTTCGGGTGAATCTGAGAGTGTGTATTTGATGCAGTTTTACTCTGCAGTAGTTCTCCATCTTGAAATGCTCACTTACTCCAGAGCTGTTCATAGAAAGAGTTGTGACATGAGTGTCTTGATTGTTGGAACCAAAATAGTGGATTACGCATCAGTGCACATGGACAGTTAGCACACCATGTTTGCGTGATGTGCTCCACACATAATGAATACCTATTTTCATTCATTCAAAGTCTGAAGTTGGCACTACTCTCTCTCTATATAGCTCTGGCTTAGTGGCAATACTGCCCTCCGATGGTTGGTGACTGAGAATATTGCCTCAAACATGTATACACTCCAGATGCTGTATATTCTTTTGTATGTTCACAGCAACCCTACTCTTATGGCAACCAGAAATAAGACGAAATACAGCGGGCCATTTACATTTTATTGTGCATCAGGATTCATACAGTGCATGGCTATAATGCAAGTGTCATTCCCAAAACATTGCATCGGGTCATCAGAGAGACGCGTCATCTTGACCGAGATAATTTTCCCAAAGTGCTGACCCACATCGTAAAAAACCTCCCAAAACACGTGATGTGAAAATTGATGGTTTTTGTCATGGAGGGGAAGTAAAGCTGTCAATCTGCATTAGAGTGTACAGATACCACATTGCTGTGGTTGGATGGCTAGAAAAATGTGCCTCCTTCACATTCCTGGTTAAGTTCAAATCACTTATTAGTGAGAAATCAGGATAATTGAACTTTCTGATTACCTTATGTTTGATGCATGATGCTTCATTTGAGGGAGCCACAGTCGCACTGATGTTGCTGCCTACTCTCTCTCTCTCTCTTGTATTTAGCATAAACGAGGTGTAAGCTTATTGCCCATATAAAGTGCCTGTGATGTTTAACTCCCTACTTGGAGGGGGCAACTGAAAGGGAAAAAACTCTTGTGCCTTTTGTGCCGTTAATTTTTCATCTTTTTATGTGTGGAAATGGGAGGTGCGTCGGAGGATGTGCTTTACTGAAGAAATAAAGAATTCAGTTTTGAAAGATACAGTATTAATGAAGGCCAGTCCATGGGGACAGGACGGGGTAGAATACACGTAGAGTGCTTGTATTGCTCTCAAGCCTAGAGCATCATGAAATGGCACATGGGTTGATTGAAGGTTGATTGATTGAGTTTATCAGGAAATGTTGGGATAGCAAGCCAGAGGCAGCAGCCTTGGTAAGTTCCTGTTTTTGATATTATGATGCAGCTGGGAGAGGTTTGTGTATGCCCACTAATGCGTTCAGTATGAACTAATGAGTTCAGTTATGTATGATGCACTTTGCATTTCCTCAGTTTCTTTTGATATAGGAAATATTGAGACCATAATGATTCAACACAAAAAGTCACACAAAACCACTCAAATTTCCCGTTGCTAGGCTATAGCCTCTTTGTAACCCTTTTAAGCTGAATTTAGCCCATTGCAGGTAATGCATTCAGGATGTTACTGGTGGTTGCAAACAAGTATATGTCTATTAAGGCATGGGAGATTTTCTAGTCGAAATTGTATGAGGTGTTATCACAAGGAAAGTAATGGAACTTCAGAATTTGTGAGAAAGTGTGATTTTTTTTTTGTGGAGCAAAGACACCCAGATTTGTGGACAAAGTCTTCACTTACCAGGTCTTAAAGATTTACTGCAGTACCTGTTGCTCATGCTACACTCCCACCCCTTACTCGGTCAGCTTGATTTCCTCCCTCTCTCTCTTACCCATGTTTTCTGCTGCCCTGGATCTGCATTTCCTGATCTTAAAGTTGTCCACAATGGATCTAGATAAATAGTTCACGAATCCAATAAAGTTGCACTTGGGCCTGGCATACGGTGAAGTAGATTACAGAAGGAAGTGATATGAATGGCAGGGGCCTGTCATTAAAGATTCATGTGAATCTGGCAAAGGACCAAACTCATCCCCACCACATGTGATATATTTTTGTTTAATTTCCAAAGTGGGGCTGTGGTTAACATATAGTTGCGATTTTTAAAGTCTGTAGTGTAGGATTCCTAAATGGAGAGAACACAGAGAGTCATCAGTAGTCCTACAATTTTCCACAGAAGAGGGTCAGGGAGTCATCTGATGTGACTTTTTAGACCCTTTAAGGCGACTGTGAGGTGAGGCCATGGGAAATTCCTACATCACAAGTAGTTACCAGTGCAAAAAGATTCCATGTATCGGAGCTTGTTTGGATGCTTGCCAGTTGGAGCATTCTGATGGCAAAAACATGAAAACTTCATCAGTTTGCATCTTTTGAAAGAAAGGTCAATCATTCAAAGGTGTAATGGCCAGTATTTTATTACTGAGATTTTTGGTGTGTTGATTTTATTGGGTGATAGAAGGGTCCTGTAAGCCCGGCCCTGTGGTGTTCTGGCCAATCACAGCCATGATTGATTTATGTCTGACAAGCATTTACAATGATCAGGGGTGTGCATGTATGGATGAATGACACACCATTGCAAGGTGCAGTGTTTAATGCAATGAAGGGGAGCATGTGTTGATTGCCCACCTTCACAGTAGGCCGGACTTTCTGGAAGTTGGTCTATTCGGCAGGGTATGCGACCTTACACTTTAGAAAATAGCCTCAAAATCAGATGTGACTGATTCAGCGCTTTCATTAAAAAAAACACATCAGTCCATGACCATACAAAAGTGAAAATCATGGTCTAGTCCCAACTTTTCCACATTTAATTGCTGAGTAATTTGGTTACCGTGTTCAATGCGAGAGGAATTTTCAAAAGCTGCTGTCAAAATGGCCAAAATGTCAAGGATCTATGTGCCATTTGATAAGGCATGTTGGAGACGTTCCAATTCCACACACACAACACTTCCCCATTTCATCTATGTGACTGATTTTATTTCTTGCTCTGCTTGGTGTAAGACAAAAAAAAATGTTTATCAACGGGAAAATGTTGAAATTGAAGAATTTATTATATCTATGTGCTGGATTGTAGTATCAGTGAGTCTTCTTTGTGAAGAAATAAAACTACACACTGCAAAAACAAGTGTTGATAAAATGTTCTTGTAACCATAAATATAAACAAAAGTTTTGAAAAGTTTAAAATAATTGCAGGGCTTGAGCTGATTTGAATGTGTGGTTGTCATCATTACCCATTGAATATGCATGCTGCTTCACAAGCACATCTGGTTAGCATTTGAAAATGAATAATTGAGTAGATAATTGCATAATCATGCATATTCATTAGCCATCGTGGTGAAGGATGAGACCCAAGTTCGATACATAGGCATCCGGTTATTAAAACCTATCTTCTGTCCACAGTATTGCTTGATCTAAGCCAGTGCAGCTTACTATGAAAGGGTTTTCACAACTAAAAGGAAAGTACCAGTGGCAGGTTTCCCATGGCTTGGATGTCTTGGAGTTTCAATTTTGCTGTAGCAAGCTCCAGTGAATAGTCTCAGGAGTGTGTGCTAATCATGTGACTTTGCTCTTTGCACTTTGTGGATTACAGTGCACGGGGCATTCAGCTAGGGTTGATGGTGTGATTATTACTTGTGATCTGCTCTGTTCTCCACTGTTGGCTAGTGGAAGGCACCCCGGCCCAGTAGTCTGTATGAAACATGACGGAGTTAAGGACCTCGCAGTCTTGGGAACGTATCTGTGGACATTTGAAGTTTATTTATGACATTTGTAATTACCAAGGGAAACGATGCTATAACCACCCCATTTTTAAAACTGTATTAGATTGAAATCAAAGAGAAACATAAGCAAAAAGTGATGATTCCAGCTGGTATGCTATGAAGAAATGCATGACATGCATTGTCAATAAAAAAATAATTGTTTGGCAAACTATAGTTTCAAATGCAATGTCCTTTTAGCCACTTGGTGTGGGTTGGCGGACAGCCCCAAACTGCTCAGCAATAAATAAAGCTCTGGACTCGCCCGACAGCAATTTGTTTAGTGTTAAATTAACTTTTCGTTCCAAATAACATTGTGGTTTTCCTTCTGTATGAACATCTCAAACTTGTATGCGGATTGTTGTGTTCAACTTGAGGTCTGTGAAGCACGGCCAGTTTTGGTAAATTTCTTTCTGCTCTCTGCTGAGGACCACAGCAGAGGACAATTCTGAAAAAGAGTGCAGATCTAATGGAGAGGGACTTTCATCACCTTTTGCTACAGCAGGCATTCAGAGCAAAGCCAGCATCCGCAAATCCGTAACTGAATGTTAAATGCACTGTCCGTGATAAATGCCCTCTGCTTCCCCCCCCCGCTAAATGATGAAGACAACTTATGGTTCAACTTGGACCGTGTTTAATCAAAGCAGTCAATACAGATGGTGCGTAGTTAGTGCTGGGTCGAGGTCAACCAACATCCTAAGGAAGAACTCTGTCCAATTCTGCGGATGATCCCCTGAGATTTTCTTTCTTTCTTCCCAAGATGAAAGTGGATTTGGGAGTGACAAAGGCATTGCTGTGCTATAAAGTTGTTAAGAAACTCACAAGGAAACATAACCTGCTGATTTTTGAGCTCTAACGAGTAACAACGGGAAAAGGGTGGAGACTGATTGTAATGTCTTTGCTGGGTGCTGAAATAGTGATATCTTTTTATTTGCAACCACATATTCAAATGGTGAGGAGAGAAAATTGACTTAAAATTTTGTGGACCTTGGAAGAAGGAAGTGTTTCATTCGAGAACCTTGTCGTTGAGTTTAATATGTCACTGGCAAGAAATGTCAGACATGTCAGGTAATATTTGTTCACCCAGACATCATGTTTGAAGAAATACACATTTTTACCACAGTAGGAGTTTTGTGCAGTGCTTCAGTCACTCTAGAACAACCAGACCACAAAACAGTGATTTCACTATGCCGAACAATCTCAGGTGATAAATTAAAGTAGGGGTTCAAAGTAGCTACCTTTGTTGAATTCAGATCATCTAAGCAAGAAATTAATGTTTTACCACATAAAACTGACCAATTAGCGTACTTCTATATAATCAACAGGTTGTTCTGATTGGCTAAAAAGAAAAAAAAACACGTTCATTTTGCCCTTGGTTTGTTTGGTTGATGTGCAGTCTGTGCATTAAGCCAAAAACTCATATAGCACAATGGAAAACAATGGAAACAATACCAAAATGCAGACATTCATAGACTAAGCCTAACATCAAGTACAGTGACGTCCTTGTGTCCTGTATGAATCTGTCCTTACTGTCACGGGGCTTGAATTATGTCACCTGTGTTCATTTTATGTTTGGGTTTTTTGTCCCTCTTTCTTCTTTTCCCAGATGCATTCAATCGTTGCTTCAGAATATGATGTATGAAACCAGTGTTTTCAAGTTGTGTGCATTTTGTTTGAAAGTGAAAAGCCTTTCCAGTTATGCACTGAAATGATTTTTAAAAAGGGGAAATTTCCATCCTTCACAAGTGAATTGTAGGCAGCTACATAACTGTCAAAAGTGTGAAGGAAAATGACCCCAAACAACAGTCCAAACCAAGCATCGCTTCATGGGCCTTTTGTAGTCATTCACACTCTAGTATGTAGAAATTCCTGGTCACGTACTCAAAGATTTCCACGCACTTGCCATTTGTAACCCTTCAACTGTGGTAGAAACATGAAAATATGTCGAAAGCAAAACACCCACATTATGTGATGTGTCAGTGGTTCAAATATGCTGAAAAATTTCAGTCCCCATTATAATCTCAGTGCAGTATTTTGAGATTGGAATGGACTTTTAAACTGACCCCCTTGATACACAAACAGGTGAACAAAGAGGGGTGGGGGGAAAAATTACCCCGAAATTCAACATCACTTATTCCATCTTGCTGAAGACTCCTAATGCCCCCTTCCTTATGTTGGGATCAGTTCCTGTCCTGGCAAGCTTAAATGGCTTTAAGGCTGTTTCTGTCTTGTGATTTTTTAAGGGGTTTTACAATAAAGGTATGGTTTGATTGGCAAGTTTACATGACCTTGAACATTTGACAGTTAACATGTTGAATTGGATATGAATAACAAAATTAAAACCCAGCAAGGATATGGAAAGAGTGATCTAGATGAATATAGAACAAGAAATATGGAATGTTTAGAGAAGGACTTACAGATGTTACAGTAAAATAAACAACCCTCCCCCCCAAAAATGAATGGCGAACATAAAACTATAGTTCTTATTTGATGTCTGCCATTCATCAAAGTCAGGATTGGCCTATTAAGTAAAAAAAAAGTGCAACATTGAAATTATATAAATGATATATAGAGTAATGAACTTCATCAAATAAAACAAAATGTTGGAATTACAAAGTAGTTTTGTTACTGGGTCTGGTCATACCGACCATTTTCAGACCCACCCCTCCCACAATTGTCTCTGAACCCAAACATTGCCGCTTGGGCTGTTTTGTACCCTGCCGGCACTTTTACATCCAGGAATCTTAGGTACGGGGCCCAGGCTCCCCTGTTGCCTGCGGGACGTCTGCATGAAAATTGAATTGCTGGCTTCTCCCTTAAAATGGAACAGAGGGGGAAACTAGAAACCCGATACTGGATGTCTGCTCGAGCTGGAATGCAAAATGTACCCATGCTGATTTTTTTTTTTTACAAGGAAACTTTATTCTTGCTAACAGCATTTTTTGAGGGGGGGTTTGGCAGCATGATATTTTGCAGTGAATTCATTCAGGCAGACGGCTTGCTCAAGGACTTTGTTGTAATAAATGAGCACAGGGGGACATTCAATAAAATCTCATAAAGTAATTTGTTCAACTTGGGAACCCATAACACCAAGCAGCCTGTATTAGTTGAGAAGCTCCCTTCACATGGTACAACCAGGACTTGTAAGATTTAAAGCTTTGCAAAGAGTTGTGAGAAGTCGGTTTGCGAGTACACCATGGAGTCAATCTCTTTCGGGCGAGGTGTGGTTCTTAAAAGAACCGGTGAGTGTTCACTCGACGCTTCGGCCAGTGTACCCTGGCTCCTCACACTCTCCTGAGGACGGCCAGAGCACACTGGCCGAAACATCGAGTGAACACTCACCGGTTCTTTTAAGAACCACACCTCGCCCAAAAGAGATTGATCCCATGGTGTACCCGCAAACCCACTTCTCATAACCAGGACTTGCAGGTCAGAAATTGCGCCACATGAATACACTACCACCAGACTACGTAACATCTGGTTTGACCCCCTGTCATCAAATTCTGCTGCAGTTAAACTATGTTGCACTCAGGTTTGTTTCCCACTTCTCGACTTTCACAAACTGTTTGTTTCTGAACAAAGTAGGGTCTACAGTTGCGATGATTCTCGGTGTGATTTTCAGAAGCTCTTAACACACTTTTGGGGGGAAGAACTCATACCAACATAGCCAAAGGCCCACAGTATTAAGAATCTCTTTATCAGAAATATCTCAGATCAATTTACCACTAATTTTAGAATAAATTTGAGCTGGGCACTAGATCTATTTCAAGCTGTAGTTACTAATGAAAAGAAAGAAAAATTTGCCTTTTAAATGAGGCCTTCATTAAATGGATTCTGGGAATGAAAGCCAGCATCTTAATGCAAGGAATGAAGGGCAAGGGAATGATTGTGTTAGGAGAAACCGACCTGGTGGGTTGAAATAGAAGTACTCCTGTCCCTTTGGCAATATTCAACCATTCAGCCTATGGCGATATGTTTTAATGAAGTAAGTGAATCTCTACACTGACTTTATTACACAGAAGGCCATATGCAGACAGTATACGGCCGAGATACGTACATTTGTTTGTGGTGGAAGTGTGATCTTGAGTGTGTTTGTACAAGCTGAATTAATCCAATGCAAAACTGCTTTGAATTGTGTGTCGATACTAGATTAAACAAGAAAACTTTAAAAAGTGGTGGGAAGTGATGGACCAGCATTTGCTGTGTTCATAGACGGGTTTGTAAACTACAATTATGGTTTACAATTATGTCCCACTTCATGCCTTTCAACGTGTAGTCAGACCTGAAACATTTCATGTTTATAGGGTTTGATATTCAGATTGCATGGCAAATCAAATGAAACACGAAAGTGTGTAAAAGGAAAGCTCCAGATAGGTTTGGCAGAAATGACGATGACGCACGTCACAAATCAGCTTGACCGACAGGCAACCTGGTTAGAATAACAAAAGACGAGTTTAACCAAAGTCACACAGCGATCTCCAGTACTTACATGCATGCTGCTTCTTCAATGAAGAATGAAAGTGAAACTGGGTTTTGCATGATGCTTGTTTCATTCTTTTTATTTCAGACGTAAATGAAACCATGTCCATGAAACCTGTTTTTTTTTTCTTTCAAAAACGAAATACACACCAGTAAGTAAATCAATCAGTAGTGTGCAGAATACCATTGAAGTTGTTAGCCTAAGGCACAAAAGCTGGAAGTAGAGGATGTACTTTTATCGCAAAACAAATTGAGGCTATAACTCTGTGACAAAATATTCAAAGGGTCCGTGACAGGAATTTATTAAGAATATATTTGGAGCAACATCATGCTCTTAATCAGGTCAAAATGACTCAGCTTTCCTTTGTGGTTCAGGTAACTGCAAAGTGCAATTTCAAAACATCCTGTTGCCGTTGAAGTTGTAAACTTTGCTCACATTAATTGTAATACATCAAAATAAGGAATCGCCACAGACAAGAACATTGTAATGAACATAATAATGCAAGTCCTGGCAACCTTTGGTTCCGAAATGGCAGTAACAGTGAAGTTTCAGTCTGAAACGTGAAACTGCATTAGCACAAAAGACATCAACATGCCCTTTGAACAGGCAAATATTGAAAATAAGGTTAAATGGGAAACAAAGGTGCACTTCCAAGGAAAACACCGACAATAAATGACGTTACATGGGCCCTTTCAGGTAATGATTAATTTTGTCATCACAAACAAAAATGTCGGCATCCGGTGCAACTTCCAGATACAGAAAAAGATGCATTGTACACCCATGCACAAGTGCAAGCAGCGGCTGATGTAAAAATGACCTCCGCTGCTTTGTATGGAAGTTATCATGATCCAAATCATGTGCAGAAATCCAGACAGAAACAAGACGGTAGGGTTCCACACTTGCTTTGTGAGGGGTGAACCTGCCCCCCCCTTTAAAAATGTGACAATTTATGAGTTAGCCAAGCCAATGCTCAATCCATCCACCGTTTCAGGTAAAGTGAACTTGCATAAGCAGCTGGGAATGGAGGTAACAAGTGGAGGTATCAGCAAGATTGTTTGAGATGGTGCCATGACAGGCAAGCTTGCAGACACGCATGTACGTAAGTGGGTGCGCTAACCTTACATACAATGTACCTAGTGTGGACTTGTGAACAAAAGATGTCCACACGATGCAGGAAAGGAAGATGTTCTGTGGACTTACACACGTCCATAGTGTGGGTGGGTGGGTGTGTGTGTGTGAGTAAGGGCTGGACTGCCATCATGCTATGTTCCAAATTTCTTCTCTGGAAGTGTTGATGGTAAACTCTCATAGATGTCTTCCAGAGGGCGCTCTACAACCACCAACCAGCCTGGCTTACCAAAGTATCCTGCATACAGTAGTGGCTGAAAGATACATAGAATACATGCAGTTACTAGTTATGGTGAAACCAGATCAGGATAAGCCTTCTCAAATTTCAAAAGTGAGACCAAAGTTGTTTCGGGTAAAATGAACAGTTCAAGAGAGACTTCCATCAATCACTATGCATCCATAAACCGGATACCACACTCCAAGTGACATCAGGGCCTATATTTAGATCTGCTCAATCTAACCTTTAGTCTAACTTGCAATGACTGAAATTGATGACAAGTGCAACAGCACTTTGCAGTGGGGTAAGATTGACCCGAGCAAAAAATCTCTGCATCAAAAAGCATTTCACATGAATGAGATTTTACCCGTAAATCAGGTGACTCTCTTTCAACAACAACAACGTCCCCGGACCTCAAAACATGGTTTGTAATCTGTTGTATGAACCTTGATGTGCACCAACAGTTAACCTACCTCAGGCAGTTTCTTTTCAATCCCCTGTCTACAATTTTTCCTGTTATTTGTGTTCCACTGCTAGACCATACATCAAAGTTTCTAAACCATCAAACAGCTTACGTGCTTGCTGGTTCCGAAACTATTTTAATGATTTCATTCTAATGTTACTTTTTCTAGAACAGAAAAAAACACCCACCTGCTTGGCAGTCTGCCAAAAAAGTCCTCAAAGCAAGCTAATCTAACAGTTAACGCTGCGTGCTTATGGTGCCTTGTGGGATACCAAACCAATAGGAAGAACCCAACAAGGAACATCTGTTGTATTTGTGGGGTACTGAAACGGTACCCTACAAGAATTTTATGAAACTGATATTTGGAATTTACTCGAACATAAGGAATTTTTGAACTACTGGTACTTATCTGTCATAAATTGAGATGTCTGTCAAAATGTCAGCCAGGGACAATGATTCAGGACTTTAATGGAAGCAATTAGAAAACTGTGTTTCACACACTAATTTTTCACAACATGAGAACCAAAGAAATTCCCCACAAGGATACCAATGTAAGAGTGCGTGTGTGTGGAGTGGTCATACTCATTATCACCACGGTGTACTTTTTATCCGAGATACTATAAACACTGGATAATTCCATGCACGAGTGGAAATGTGGTCACACTGTCACCGACCTCATCAGTCATTGTAATTCACAAGCCAAAAGAAGTTTTAGAAAAAGATGAAAGTCCTTCTATAAAAACCTCTTTCTGTGTTAGAATCACCTGATAATAAGGTTGGACATAAATTTAATGATTGTTTCATTCCATGTAAAGACAAGAGGAGAGTTTCACGATTCCGTTTAGAAAGCAAGTTTTGTTTGTTTGCCTTGTCCCACAATGCAGTGAACACTTACATTGATATGAGCCCCGTAATAATGATGGTTTTGAAAAATAGCCAACTCGCTCCCATTCTTAGGAGGCACCAAATCTACGGTAACTTCCGTGTCCAACTGAGGACTAGTCTACTGAGGACATGGTTATTATGAGAAGAATATGGCGACTGGCTGATATTACCTTGTAACGCTGGCAGATACTGAAGCCATGCTGTTTACTTTCTCCTTGTGGGGGACTGCCCAGGCCACGGTTGAACAGCTTCTCATAACGTGAAGGAAGTGGCTGTGGAAAAAAGAAAGAAAAAAGGACAGTGATACCGGGGGCAAGAACACAGAAATAATTTTCAACAAGGCAGAAAAATGTTCAACATATCAAGTGAAACAAGTAGGGTTTACAGTTACATCCCGACTGATATACCAAAGTTCAACTTTGGTCAGGCCTTGTCCCCAGTCCCATTTTTCAGGCAAGAAACTCACGACACCCAACACTGGCAACCAATCATCTCAAAGAGACCCTGTGTCACACATATCTCACAGTACTCATTTATTTCTTCTTCGTTGCTGGCATGGGGTTTACATATACACTTGTCCCCAAAATAGTCCACCTGTTTTATGCAATGTGATAAATTTGTATTGCTCATATAAAGACACATGTCCAATTCTTCTTCCTGAGCACAAGCTGAGCTGATCAGCTAGACATCCAGGCCCCACAAAATGT